GACGTCTTTCAAGTTAACATGATATGATCTTGGGTTGTTAGGTTTATTGGTTTAATTGAAACAAATGTTTTCAGAGTTATCAACATTGGATATGTCGCAAACATTATCTCTGATCCAAAATTTGTCAGCAAAAAATAATAACTTAAAATAATAACAGTTTCTGTCTGATGTCTCATGAGGGTTTTGTAGGCAATCTAAATATAATTATCAGGAACAAGTAAACTAAATAGATGTGAAAAAGATAAAGGTTTTTGGAGGAACTTTTTAACACTAATTATGTGTTATGGCATATGTACTTAAAGCAACTCAAATCATGCCTATCTGCTTTAAAGTCACATTAAATTTTTGTGAGTAATCTAAACATAATTGTTGAAAACAAACAATTTAGATAAATAAAAATCGGTAAGAGTTTTTGGGTACAATAATTATATTTTATAGTCTGTATACTTGAAAAACAGCATCCAAAATCTTTTTTGGTAAGTTAAATAATAAAAATTTGTTGAGTATCTAGGTCATTTCCACCCATAAGATAAAATATTAAGAACTGATTACTAAGCATTGGTTTATCTGCCTTTGGTTTCTCATCTCCAAGAAACTGAACGATGCTTGAGTTTGTTGATAAACATGTTTTGTGCATGCTGAGAAATTTTCTCTGAGAAAGCACATATTTCTAGAAACTCTGTATACAAGGAAAGTAAAATGTATGTTCTCAGTAAAGAAGGTATACAGAATAGAGACATTTTTGTTTGTTTTGTTAAGAAAAATAAATTTGTCCTAAAGTACTAAGAAAGAGAAAGGGAAAGAAAGCATGGGACAAAACTGAATGCAAAAAGTAAATGACAGAATGTTTGTGGAAGTAAAACTCTGAGGAGCTTTATGCATGGTCAAGCTGGCTAAGATTGAAATAAATTTAAGTAAGCTGGTGCAAAATTAAAACTTGGTTTTCTCTCTTAAAGGGATAATTCTCTTAAACTTTTGGTCTGCTCTTGATAAAGAGGTTATAAAAAGTTTTTCTTTATTTTTGAGTAAATCTACCTAAAAGATAGAAAATCTATGTTTTGGGGCCAGCCTGGTGGCACAGCAGTTAAGTTCACACGTTCTGCTTCTCGGTGGCCTGGGGTTCACCAGTTCAGATCCCGGGTGCGGACATGGCACTGCTTGGCAAAAGCCATGCTGTGTTAGGTGTCCCACATATAAAGTAGAGAAAGATGTGCATGGATGTTAGCTCAGGACCAGTCTTCCTCAGCAAAAAGAGGAGGATTGGCAGGAGTTAGCTCAGAGCTAATCTTCCTCACAAAAAAAAAAAAGAAAGAAAATCTATTTTGTTAAAATAATTTCCTATGTTCAAAAGGACTGAGGTCTCTCTATTAAGATTTTTTGGACTGTTTTAACTCTCTGTTTGCCTTATTGTTTCTCTTGTCACCTTGATAGAACAAGTAACTAAGAATTATTTCCTATTTGACCAAGTGTTTTAAAACTTTTTGACATTTTTGATGAACTTCTGCCAAAGTTAAAGTCTTTCTTTTGACTTTAAAAAAAAAAAAGAAACTTTAAGAATTTCCAATCAGCCTTGGGACTTCTCAAAGAATTTGTTCTCTCTTTCCATAAAGAGGATGATATTAAACTAATTAGACTTATTTGATATGTTAAATTACATGGGAAGCATTACCAAATAAATGATAATAAGCTTTCTTAGGTTATATTGGGTGGGTAAATGTTATTAATATAAGTATTTAAAAAATTATATAACATTCCAAAAATTTTGATCTGTCCTCTTGTCAGTCATAATTCTAGTTTTTATCCCAAAGTGGTGTATGTTACAGAAATAGCCAAGTGTCTTTGTCAATTGCCATTTTTGAATGTTTTGCAATTTTCAGACAGTGGTATTACACTGATGTTTTTGCAAATATGTTTCATCTTTAGAGAGATTCATGGAAAGGACTCTGACACTTGCTCTAGAATGCAGGTTTCTGATAAACTTTCAGATTATAAAACTGAGCTGGGTAAAAAATTACAGAACTATAATGGAGAAACTGATGGCCTCATGAAACTGCTAACAGAAGATCAAAAGTTGATATGATAGGACTGACTAAATTCATGAGGATTATTATAATATATGATATTTCATTTGAAATGTTGCTGATTTTTTACTGTTTTGGTTTTTTTCAAGTTTAAGGAAAACTTTTTCTCTTAAGCTAACTATGACTTATAACAATTTGGTAAACTAAACTTTTGTAAACAGAATTGAAACACTTACATTTCTCCCTACCTAATCCTTCCAGAATTTGGGAACTCTTAATGAATAAGTATTATTTTCATGGCAATACAGTTATTTGCATAAGTTCAATAAGAATCTGTTTTCCTTATAGCAGGACACACTGATTATATTACCAAGGCTTTGACTGGAATGTCATATTTAAGAGAAACATGCATAAACTCAGATATGACCATACAGCTTTGAGAAGCAAAGATTGGACTTTATTAAATGAAACCACTTGGAAAATTGGCCTGGTAACTTGCTTACAGGATTCTCAACCTTACCAGGTGAGTAAGGAAAGTCACTTCCCTGGCAGGTTGGGGAACCACAGGATATTTTAAGGACCTACAGAAGAGAGAAATTCACCCAAATCTGTAGGTATTGCAGGCGGAGTCTGATAACAAGTCTTTAGTTTGGCTTTCTTGGCTTCAAGAGGCCTTTGAATTTCAACCTGAGATTCCTTGTAAAAAGTTCCAGCAAAGCAGATTTAAGAGAGCAAATATGATCAGTTGCTATTCTTACTGTACTTATGTAAATAATTGGGCCACGTTTTTTTTTTTTTTAAACTAGATCTATTTTTCAAACCAATAAGTCTTAATTTGGCTATCTTTGGTAAAAATGAGGGTGATTTTAGAGAGAAAAAAATTACGTTTAAATAGAAATGATAACACACATTTGTGGATGTTGGATTTTGGTTCTGATAATTGTCTTTGAGGTTTTTGCTTTCTTTCTGTAAACTGGACTGTACCTGAATTCTTCTAGTTTCCTCAATATCTGGTGCAGATCTCCAAATTAATGTTTTCAATTTTTTTCTGTCCTTTTCATTTAGAATCATTGAAAACTAAAACCACCCTTTCTCCTGAAGCCCTGAAAACTAAAATAGGATGACACTGATATAAAATCTTATTTGATATCGGAAACTAGAACTTAGACCTGACTCTGCAGTACAGGTCCTAGAAACTGCTTGGCTGGAAGAGGAATTAACTTTCTTTAATGAAGGATTAACGTAGACCCTAAACCAAATTAGTCAGGTATATCATAAAGTACAGATCACAATAGACAACAAGGGAAAGAAAATTGTCCAGTTGGTCAATGAATATAAACGTACATGTGCAGGATTCATGGGTGGCATGACCTGCTTTTCCTCTGCTCTCTCAACTTCGCTATCTACCCTCATTGGAACCATTGCCCTGGTATGTGCCATCATTTCCTTTTCTTCCTTTGTTGGAAATATAGAAAATGTTGCCAGTGTCTCCGACGATGTCAGTCCCCATCAAAACAATCAGGAGACTGAATAGTCTTAATAAAGGTCAGAACTAACCCTCAGTTCCAAGAAAGAGTGAGAGAATTTAAAAGGCTTGCTTAGATCCACACTGTCAGTTTTAAGCTTCCAAATTCTTCCCCCTTGAGCAGGAAGCAGTCAGAAGATGTCAATGGCCTTATTCCCAAATACTTCATATGATTATGAAGTTACAACAGACAGTGGAGAAATTGTAACAGCTGGATCTTAAGTTAACATCAGGGAAGCCATCTTAGGGAAAGAAGCAAGATTGTAACTATGACCCTCACTGACTAGTCTGTGAACACATTCCAGCCTGCACTTTAGCCTAGATGATTAAGCACCTCTCACTTTTACAGATTACATGCTCTGCTATTTCTACGACTCTAGTTTACGTATATCTCCCAGCTATGATAAGATGATAACTTTGTTCTCTGAGTTCCCCAGGAACACGACGACCTCCAGAAAGAAAAATTCTGTGTTGGTACCCATCATGAAGGATAGCGGAAAGAGATAATGCGGCACCTTGAAGTTTGTCTCATCGGATAGTGGACATCATAAACCCCTCCTTCTCTGCCCATTTCCCCTATAGAACTGCCTCCAGATTCTGTAGGATTTCAAGATGGTTCTTGAGGACACTAGTCCACTGTCTTCCGATACTGCTGGCTAATCGGATAAATTTTCCTTTCTCAGCCACCAGCTAGTTTGCAATTGATTGGCACCAGATTGCAACAAGTAGAATGAGCTCCTTTTTGCTCCACTACATTTTGGAAAATGGCCTCTTTATACCAATGTGTGGACCAAACAGAGGATACATTAGGTGGGTCTAAAGCTTCTCTGAGTGCCTGCAGCTTTCTTTCTTTGGATAAAAGGCAAGGACTGTCACAGGCTACCAGGACCTCAACTCCCAGCCCCCATGAGATGGCACTGTGTCTCACAAAGCTTCAGTCTGGATTAGGTTTTTTGTTTTGTTTTTCGGAAGATTAGCCCTAAGCTAACATCTGCCACCAATCCTCCTCTTTTTGCTGAGGAAGACTGGCCTTGAGCGAACATCCATGCCCATCTTCCTCTACTTTATATGTGGGATGCCTGCCACAGCATGGCTTGCCGAGCAGTGCCCGGCCTGCACCCAGGATTGGAACCAGTGAACCCCAGGCCGCCGAAGCAGAATGTGCAAACTTGATGGCTGTGCCACCGGGCCGGCCCCTGGATTGGGTTTTGATGGAATAGAAACCATGAGCAACGTTACTTTGGCCAGATACAAACCACCCAGAACTAGTTCATGAGGTCTCCTCCCTGGCCCCTTACCCAGATTTAAGGGAAAACAGTTGGAAATATCCCTTCCCCAGAAATAACAATAACAACAAGTAGTACCAAAAGGCTTTCCCGATTCAACCCCAAATCACTCTTTCCCACTCAGGGTTGAGGTTGAGCCAGATAATTAAAGAAATGAAAGCTCCTTACCAGACCAGTTGACACTGGAGAATGGAACGGGCACAGGGCCAGCAGAAGAGATATCTGCGCTTATATTGGGAAAAACCTCACCTTCTCCATCACGAGTTTCATCCATTTCACGTAAGGTTTTGAGGCATCAGCTAGATGAGGTGTTTCATCAACCCCGGTGAGTATCGTCTCAAGCAGGGAAAGAAAAACAAGTCTCCCCACCTCGAGAGGATGAGGTGATGAGAGATACGGCACCTCCCTGCTTGAGTGGGAGTAAAATCCACCTGCAGGCTGGGAAGAAGGGATGTTCACAGGGGTGAGGCCAAGGAGTGGCTTAATGTACTGAGGCCCCATGTGGGTCAGGACAAGTCAGAGCAGCCTCTTGAGTTGACAGCCCCTGTCATCTGCTGAGACAAGTTAGATGTGAACAAGGGACATCCAAACACCATCCATCATCTTCACCTCAGGCAGGACTGATGCACACGAAAGGCATCTCAATGCTGTCCTTGCCAGCCATGCTCCCTTCCCACCCAGACACACACCTGGCTTATCTGATAGCAGCTGCTGGCTTGGTGATGGCTCACTGGAGATGTCACATCCTCCCCTTTGGAGGTGATGCAAGAAGGGCCCCAAGATTGACAACCTAAGCCAGAGATCACACCAAATCCGACCACCGAGCTAGAAGCCCTCTGGGCGTTGTGGGACCTGCCATACCCTTTACTTTCTTTTAAAAAACTACTTCTTACTCTTAATTTCGAAATACAGCTAAAACCTCATCTATGCTTTCGCCTCTTCCCACTTTCATCTGAGGCAACCACCAAGACACACGCTCCCACGTATGTTAGTCTTTTACTTCCAGGATGCATATACATGTCAATAAATAGCGTATTCTATGATTTTGAGTATCTAAGTTTTACTGTAAGCATCCGTTTGTCATTTGTCTTACTCATGCAACAAAATACTTGCTGTTTACCCATTTTGAAACGTACAGCTCTAGATCATTCATTTTTTAACTACTGTTTAGCTTTTTGTTTACATGATTATGATGACACGATTATGTATCACATATTATGTATTACAATTATGAAACCACAAATGTTTGATCCCCTGAGGGACCACAGGGCTGTCTTCATCTTTTTGTTTGTTGGTTTTGGTTTATTTTTTTATTTTATTTATTTATTTTTTTTGCTTTCATAGTGCGCAATTAACACCCTTGCGTGTTTCTTTATGCAGGAATGAGAAAGTTTCTCCATAGACACCTGGAAGTAGAATTGTTGGGTCATAGTGCAATGGACATTTTCAACTTTAGTAGGTATTGCAAAATTCTCTCTAAGGTGGTTGTACCCATTTAGACACCCACAGGCAAATATCAGTCTTGATCAGTTTCTGCTAAATTGACGCGTGTGGCATTTTTTTGTTGTTGTAATTTGTATGTTCTAATTACTAGTTAGATCGAGCATCTTTTTCAGTAAAGATGCCAAATAAAATAGAAGAACACTTTTATAAGATTTCCTAGCACATATACTAGGAATACAGGACATACTTATGTTAAAAATTATTTGAGGTTTCTATATCCTATATTTTTATTTGTTAAATTCTGTGAATTGCCGACTCAAATACTTTGCTCATTTTTCTACTGACTTCGGTTTTTCTTTTCTTGTTAATTGGGAGATGGCCTTCTGGACATCAGTGCTCAGTTTTGTGAGTTCCAAATATTTCCTCCCCATCTGTGGCACATCTTCTTGCTTGGTATATGATGTCTTTTATCATATAGAAGGTTGGGTTTTTTAGAAATTTCAATATAGTCATAAATACACAAAGATATTTCTCTTATGTTTTCTTCTAAAAAAAAGTGTTAAATCTGTCTGGAATTTGTAACTACATGTGGTGCAAGGGAGCGACTCAGTTTTATGTTTTTCCATATGGATAGCCATTTTTCCCCACAGAATATATTAAATCGTCCATATTTTCACTCTGATCTGTAACACATCTCTGTTTATTCTATCCTCCGATACCTGTGTGGGTCTGTTTCTAGGTTTTCAATTCCATTCCACAGGTCTGTTTGTCTACACCTGCCCCCCAAAGCCCAGTGCTTACTTATTATTGCTTTGGTAAGTACTAGGATCTTATAGGAAGATCTCTCCATTTTTCTCCAAAATTGTCTTTGCTCTTCTAGGCTAATTGCTCTTCAATATGAATTTTTCCCCAACAAGAGAGCAACGATTTATTTACAGGTGAAAAAATATTATCAGTACCTCCCCAAAGCCTCCTTCTTTTGCATCAGAGTGTCTGGTGATCATGAAGTGCTCTGAGAGCAGAGCGGTGGGCGCAGAGGCTCCGGAACTAGACGACGGGTGTCCATTCCTGGTTCCGTCCCTTTCTAGTTCTCCGACCTTGAACTTGAAGTGTTTATGCCTCAGTTTCCACATCTTAAAATGGGGATGCAAAATAGGTCATGATGAGGGTTAAACAAGTTAACACGTATAAAGAGCTTTACCTACTATTAGGTAATTTGTAAGCATAGAATTAATATCATTAAGGGTTTATGCTTTGATGTCAGGCTGCCTGGAATAGAATTGCCCTCATCATTCACTTATTACGAACACAAAACAAAACAAAACCAACTCTTGTGAAATATGACACAAAAGAGGACACACAGCAAGGGCACAGAATACCCTGTATCCAACGATGATAAAGGAAACACCCATAGATTGGCTCTCCGGCAAAGAAACTGACATGGTTGGCAACCACAAGCCACGTGTTCCTCCTTATTACAGACGCTGGCCTCCTGCCCCGACTCCGAGGTGAACGCTGGGCAGACTCAGCCCGATCAAAATTTTGATCATTTTTCAATAACCTTCTTTATTAATGTTTTTTGCTTAAAACCTACTTCATCTAATATTAATACGACTATGGCCATTCCTTTTTTTTGCTTAGTATTTACACGGGATAATTTTTTCATTCCTTTAATTCCACTATAACTTTATGCCTTCGATTCATCTCCTGTAAACAGCATATAGCTCGATTTCTAGTCTGACATCCATATTTTTTAACTGAGGTCATCAATTAATTTTTAATAAATTTACCAATGCATTTGGGTTTAAATCTACCATCTTATTTTGTGTTTCTATTTAACCCACCTGTTCTGCTCTTTTTAATTTTACTTCTTGTTTGCCTTTGGATAAATTGAGCAATTTTTTTTATCCTTCCATGTTCCTTCTCCAGAACGAGTATCTGGCATTACGCACTCCTCATTTTCAAGTCGTTGTTCTAGACATTGTAACAAGCATCCCAAACCCCCTACTACACATTGTAACTTAACAGCAAATCCTCTTTCCAGACATGCAAGAACCTAAGGCCTCTTTGACTCCCTTTATTCAACTCCTCAATTACATGCTACTCTTGCGGCGTGTGTCTCTCTTCTGTAATTTTAAGAGTAAGTTAGGCATTGCTGTTATCCTTTCATGGAGTCAGTGTTCATTTAGACTTACCTCTTCTTTACGCTTTTCCTTCTTCATTCCTTCTGAAACTTCTAACCTTCCAACTATAATCATCTCCCTTCTGCCTGAAATTCCTTCAGAATTTCATTGACTTCAGGATTTTTGTCTGAAAAATCTTTATTTGGCTTTGTTCTTTTTAAATTTTTCATTATAAAAAATTTAGGCATAAACAAAAGAAAAAAAAATAGTATAATGACCCTCATCTGCCCATCACAAGTTTCAGCAATTACCAACTCTAGGACAATTCTCTTTTCTTGGTCTCCCGCCACGTCCCCTCAGCCTGAATTACTTAGCAGCAAACGTCATACTGTTTCACCTGTAAACAGTAGGCATATCTTAAAGGATGGGAACTTTCTTTTCAAACGCAACCATATCATCCACCAAAAAAATATCAGCGACGGATGTTAACTAACCTTCTTGTGGTAACCATTTTTCAATATATACATATATCAAATCATTGTGGTGTACATCTCAAACTAATACGGTGTTATATGTCAACCATATCTCAGTAAGACTGGAAACAAAACAATCTGGGGAAAAATATCAGCAATAACTCTTTATATCATCACATATCTTGTCAGTGTTCACATTTCCCCAACTGTCCCATTAATTTTGTTCTTACAGTTTATTTGTTTGAACTGGGATGCAAACGAGTTCTTTATATTGTTATTCGTTAATTTGTCACTTAAGTTTCTTCTATGCTGTAGATTTTCCCCTCCACCTTTCCTTTTGCTTGCATTTTGTTGCTGTCGTTATTGAAGGAACAGTCTGGATTTTGCTAATTGCAACCCAATATTTTCATTTAATACATTCCTCTGCTCTCACTATTTCCTATAAATTCATAATCGGATTTGGAGAGAAAAGATATTCCAGGCCCACTGTGTACATTTCTCCAAAGATCCATGGTAACTTTCAGCGGCAGGTGGTGTTTAAGACCACAATCTGGGCACTGGGGGTCTCCTTATGCCTGGTTAGTCACTGTTTCTGGACTTTTCAGTGGACAGACTAGGAAATGTGTCCTTATTTTTAAGATAAAACGTATCACAAGAAGAGAAATATTATGAATTGATGCTGATACTTCCAATTCAATTTCAGGAGTACTGGGTCTCACTCAGTCTCATCAATCACCCTCTCACACCGAAGTCGTGGTCAGAATCACACCAACATACTTCTTCATCTGCTTTATCCTCCACAGGGCCAGGACCAGGGGGAGGCAAGCAGGCGCCATGTTGTGCAAAATTAAGAAGGTATTACTCTCAGGGTGGTGTAGGCGCAGGTGTGCCTCCTTAAATTCTCTGCTCTAAGGGTGTCACTCTCCTCGCCCACGGTTCTGGCTCTGATCCCACCATATACACACAACAGTCCTAGAATAACGGGACCCATGCTAGCACCAACAGTAAGATTACTTGAAACAGTCTAAGGTGGCGACGGGGGTGTTTTGTCAGTTCTTTATTCCTTGGCTGTATTCTACTGAGGACGTGCAGAAAATTACTGTTTTAAATTCTTAGAATAATTTCATTCTATATATTATGACACCAATTTTGACACACAGTTGATTTTAATTTTAGGGATTAGTTCTTAAATTTAATCCTGTGTTGATGTTATTTAAGAGATTTACACAGTTCCGAAGTCAAATCTACAAAATAAGTTTATTCAAAGACGTCTAACTTCCATCGACACTTCTGTCCCCTCCCTCTGTGTCCCTGTGTGCAATCTTCTTTTCTTCCTTTTTTTAAAACGGAGGTATAATTGACATACAACATTATATTAGTTTCAGGTACACAGACATGATTTGATATTTGTATTGTAATCTTTTTTCTTTTTTGTAATATAAACACATATATATGTGTGTACCCCACAATTTCAGATAAAAGGTAGCATACTATACATACTTTTTGTACTTAATATGACTTGGGAATCATTCCAGAATAGCGTGAACACCTCATTGTGTGGATGTGCCATAGTTCAGTCAACCAGCCTCCTACTGATGGAATTTGGGTTGTTTCCAGTCTTTTCTATTACAAGTAGTACTGCAATGAATAATGTACAGCTTTCATCTTTTTGTATTTTTTATTTTGCTTAAAGAATGTTGCTTCAATGTTCTTGA